ACTTCAAATTAAATAAAATTGAAATCAGAGCTGCACATGGTTATAGCACCTTTTTAACTCTGTAACTCGGCCCAGTAAGTTTGTGAACCAAAGCAAAATTATGCAAGTTTATTTGGTGTGGATTTTTGTTTGCTTGGGTTTTTTTCTGTTTTGTTTTGTTTTTATTTTAACAAAACTTGGGAGCAAGATAAGAATATTTTTAGTTATATTATTACTGCTTCTTCAAGCAGTTAGGAGTAGATGCTGTAGGTCACAGTTTAACAGATAAAACAGAAATTCTCCTACCTAATAATAATTTATACAGGGTTACAGAAATGAAAGTTCTTGCTCAAGTTCAGTTACTTCAGCTGACTCAGCCCAGGTGCTCCCATCCCACCCCTCTCCAGTGCTCTCACAGCTGGAGCTACCCCCAGCATATTCATGTACCAACCATCACCTTTTCTTCTCAGGAGGTTTCTACTATTATTGCTGCAACTCTTTTTGATAAGGAGGGAAAAAAACACAGAAATGGACCAGCATACTACCTTCTCATCACCACAGCTTCATAGCTTTGACTGAAATGGGGAACTGCTATGGACATTCTGCCAAATGGTTTTGAAGAGCATAACTAATATACTTAGCCTTATACCTACTTGCTACAAAAGTTAATTCAATACAAAAAATATTTCCTCAGTTAAAATACTAAATTTTTTTATTATTTTTTTTTAAATCAAATACACACTGCTAAAGAGAAGCACTCGGGTGAGCTTGGAGAATGTGTGAGATTTTTCTATCTATACAAAAAAAGTGCTATTCAAGTCACCATTTTATGATGTTACGTGAGCTGAAATCATTGCACTGACACATTTAAAGCAGTTCTGACATTTATATAGGTTACCATACATTCAAAGTTGCCATTATTTTTTATTTAAAAGTTGTGTGTTTCATAAACATCTAACTTATTCTGAAGTTTAAATAATCTGAACATAAAGACAAATTTGAAGAAGTGATTGGATCACATCTGTTTATAACCTGAAGAATTTTTCAAGCATCAGTAAGGAGTCCTCACACTGAATTCTGGACATACTTCAGAAGACAAAAGATAAAAATATTTTTTTTAATTAAACTTGTTAGTTTTATTATATAAACATTCCGCAATGAGGGTATCAAAAAGAGTTTTCAGATTGAGCTCACAACATTTTTTACATTCCTGAAGCAGAACTTTTTCTTCCTTCATGATTAGACAGAAGGATGAAATTGTCAGGAGTCTGAGATTCTACAACATATAAAAGTGAGGGCAAAAAACTCAGCTGTAGAGAAAACTGATGTGCACTTTTAAATATTGCTATCCTTCTCTGAAGGAAGAGGCAAAAAAATTAAGAAATTTCATGTTTCAATATCTCTGTAGAATTTAGAATGTCCTGTGTTTAGCAGTCTCTTCATAGCTTTATCTCCCCTGTCTTCATTTTTTTCACCCATCTCAGACCATTAGAAACAGTACAACTTATAGTCATTTCAGATATGAGGTTTTTAGCTCTGTCCCCCTAAGAGCAAACCACATACAGAAGTGTTTGTCCACTTAAGCTTTGAGACACCAGATTGTAAAATAAAAGACACTGCTCCTTTCAGCTCACTAATGCAGTGTTTTATGCATTACTTTCCCACCAAACAAATGCTGAAATCCACCAGTGCCTCTAGAGAGTTCCAGGTCACAGGAGTGAGCCGAGGCAAACACAGCTGAGCCACTGAACAACACTGCCCACAAGGTACCAACCAACCAGCTGCTGGAGAACGTAGCACAGCCAGAGTGGCCACAAACTTGAAAAGATCAATAAGCTAGAATGGAGATTTAACACTAAAACAAAGAAGAAATTAAAATGAAGAGCCTTAGCATGCAAAAATTCTTAAGAAACTGAAAGCACTTATATGCTTTAGAAAAATACAATAGGATTTATTTCACTTCAGCCAAAATCTTAAGTCCTCAAAGAAAGTCTTAGAAAGAAAAAAATACTTGGGCATGGAAATTTTCTCCAGGATATTAAAATTACCAAACTAGAACTCAGAATTTGATGACTTGACCATTAGCACTCAACTTACTATGCAGTCATTATTTGGAAAATAAATTAAGAAGCATATTTTAAGCTTTGTAACATATTTCATTGAAAAAGTTAACCCAGAATTTCAAGTTACCCAGGAGGTTCTGATGTGTGGTACGTGAATTTGAGGGTTTTTTTAAATTCACTGTTTAGAACCTCAAAACGCCCCACCAGACCATCTGGGGACACTTGTTTTGTGCTTCTGTCCGCCCTCTACTGTCTGAACTGCAGAAAGGAGTCAGTCACTGCTCCAGAGCGCTCTGCAACTCCCTGTACATACGGTATTTGATCGTTGTGGTTTCATGATTAGCTAGAAATCCAGTGAAGATAAGAGGAAACGGAATAAGAGATGCACTCAGTGGTTCTACAATAAAAGAAAAACACCTAGAAGATGCAGGTTTTAATCTTAATAAAAGATTTCTTTAAATCTCTGTAAAGCCATCTACAGCAGGAGCAAAACTAGGAAAACTGTCTTGAAAGCAGATCTGAACATGACTGGTTAAAAGAACCAAAATGGTTACTCTGTAAAATGGGATTGCCCTTCTGCCTGCCACAAGAGCCACATTCATGTGGATAACTTTATTACTATCCAACTCCAAGAACTGCCTTATAGTACTTGGTATCCACATGAAAAAGTTTCTAGGTTACTTTAAAAGGCAAAGTCAGACCCTGACTTCTGGCCCTCTGAGTATTGTCTCAACTTCAAACTTTACTTCCAGACCTCTGGGGAAACGTTTTAAAGCACTGGTTGAGTGAAAAGAATTTCCTTTCCTCTAGTTTCTCTTCAGTGAGTCTAAACGTGTGATGATTTTCTGCCTCCAAACCATTTTACCATGGCCAGACCCATAAAAATCTGACTGATAAATACATCAGTATCATCTCTAATAATAATCAGTACTGCTTAATTCTTACATTATTGCTGGGCACAGCAAGGAATACCTGAAATTTGCTACCATCAAGTCTATTTTTAAAACAAGCATTCTTTTCATTCTAATTTGATTTTTTGTATCATTCTCTCATTCTTCAGCATGTTTTTACCCATTAATTTACCATGCAGCATGGTTTAATTCATGAAGGACACAGAGAAGATTCACATTGATAACGGGAGCTGCAGTCCTGGAAACAGCAATAGGAATGAAGTGATGAGGCCTAATTCATCCACTGCTGTAACTGGTAACTGCACTGAAATTATTCTCTTTTTTGTTGGGTTGTGTTTTTTTTGGTTATGAGTTGAAGCAGAAGGCATTTGACTACAACATAACTCTTCCATTTCTTCTTGGCATTCACTCAACATAAGGGAGCTGACAGCAAAGAACTCTTATCCAGGAGAGATCAAGAAGGGACTTACACTACTCCTCATTCAGATTTTCTTTTAAAACTGTGACTCCCCTTTAATTTGTCATGAATCAGGAAAAGTTACCTTATGTAACCAGACACTTTCCACATGAGTGAATCAGCATCCCAAGCATACCGGGCAGCAGCTACAGGGAAAGAGCTAAGGAAATACTTCCCTGTCCCTGGGGAACGACCCGTATTGCTCGGCTGCCGTAGCTACTAGGAGTTGAAAAGTCTACTACAGAAAAAAAAGAATGAAGATACTGAGAAGACACCTGTCACCCTGCCTCCCATACAACTCATTGGTAACTTTGGTAAATTTCACAACAATTGCACCAAATACTGAGTTTCTTCAAAGCAGGCCCAGTTAGCAGATCACTGCTGTCAGGGTAGCGCTGAAGGCAGCAAATCTGTGGTGTCTCCACCAGCCTAGTGCTGGCACAAATGGCACAGACATGCTTGGCTCAAACACGTCCATCGAGCCAAGACCTATGCCATGGAATTGTTGTATGCAACCAATGAAATGAGACGTGTTCTTGCTCCTTGTAGGTGCTCTTACATTGTGAAACATAATTCCTGAAACGCTGTAGAGGGGCCATGCTCAATAACATGTCCACAGAAGGTCCCATTCTGTCACATGCAACACACAGTACTTGTGGAATGAAGACAAGTTCTTGCTCTTAAACTGGATTCTCTCACATGAAAAGCAAACCAGAGATGACTGAGACAGATGTCTACAGCAGAGGAAATCATCCTCGTTTTTCATTGCCTCAGCAATTGCTCAGTCACCTAGGTGACCGTTCATACAGTTAACTCTGAGTTATCTTTACCTGGGCCATTGCTGCAAACCTCCCAGTTTCTCAGGAACATGCAAAAAGTAGAAGACAGACCACTGTTAGTTGCTGAAAACAAGAAAGCCCACGTGCCATGTGGAAGCCTTCAGTCTGTAGAAGTTTTTAATGGAACTAATATATTGGTAGATTATTTAGATATTAAAACTGATTTTACTGCATTATTTTTTGCAGCAAATGGAAAAAGAAAATTACAGCCTGTAATCCAACATGTCTGTGTGAGGTCATAAAAAACTATTTTGATAGAGCCTCCTTGCTTCCAACTTCTACTAATAGTCTCTTTTATCACAAACTTCACAAAGCCCTCCACAGGACAGAGTAAAGCTCATACATAAAAACTTTGAGGATGCAGAGAGCACCAGTGACATTCTCTCAGTTACCAACAGATGCTTTGTTAATAAAACTTGCATATACAAATGTCCACAAAATGTCTCAACAAGATCAGTTGTGACAGCTAAAGATAACAGCTGCCATCATGCTATGTCATATCAAATTACTGCAAAGAGCCTTTTTTCTTTTCCACACTGTTAACTCAAGAACATTGACTACAAACAAATGCAGTTATCTGCAGAGGAACTCAAAGTGCAAGATATTTTGCTTCACTTCTGCAGAAGAGCAGTGACTTCGAGGACCAGATAGGAGAATAATGTTGAACAGCTGGAAATTATAATTGCAGTGCAACACAGCAAAGTCAAACACTGTTCCCTAGAGTCAGCCAAAAGCCAAACCACAGACCTACCTTAAGATACAGAAGCAGCTCTTGGCCCCAGAAGATAAGCGACAGAATCCAAACCTCTGTTTGCTGTCAATGTCTGTAAGCACAAATGTAAAGTTCTGCCCCACTTGGTTAACTGCATGGCTGAAAATAAAGAGAGTAAAGAGGAAAAAATTAATGCTGAGCTAACTCTGTGTCAAAAGTATCTAGTCTAAGTCATTGAACCTACAACACTTCCTCTTTCAACAGAGTTGGGGTTTTTTTGAGAAATTAACTTTGAGAGTATACACACTCTAGAAAACTAAATATGCCAATTCCTTGTTGAGGGAGAAGGGCTTTGAGGTTTTGTAAGTGTGGGAGGACACAAAAAATGCATTGCTCTTTAAATGAAAATGGCTATGACTACCAACCATTTTAAATGCTGTACACTCTTATATAACCCAAAATATTTTTATTACTCTTCATTTCAGAAGTGCTTTACTCCAAGAGCAAGATGTTTAATAACATGCTGGGTATTGACTCGTAAAAGCTTTATTATCCATCTACCAATTTTGCATATTTTCCAGATAGATCTTTCCAAAACATTCAGCAACTAGAACCATGCCAGATGACTCTAGCAGCTAGACAACCCATAAAAGAAAGACTAGAATAGTGCACAAAGGCAGAAAGGATGAACTAGACTCAAAAGCACACTGTGCTAATTACAGCCATGACTATAAAAATAATTTTGTAGGACTTTTATATGATTTTTCAAAATTAAGAGTCATTTTTCTCATCTGTGAGATCTTAACAGCTCTTCAAGTACATCACAAGTGAACCGATGGCGTTTTGAGATGTTGGCTTCCACTCACAGCACAGTGGAAAGGGTCATGGTAGGAACCCTTGCCCAAAGTAGAAAAATGGTTTTGGAAAACAAAACGCCACAACCAACAAAACCAAACAAACACACACACAAAAAAACCAAAACCACCAAACAAAAACACAAAAAAAACCCAAGAACCAAACCATCAAAACAGACAAAAGCCCAAACCTCAGCATTTCAAAATTCACGTCACTAAAACCACGCTAATTTACATCCGCAATTTACCACTAATAGGTGATACTCAAAATATTAAGACAAGGTCAAAATCAGATGCTTTACATTTAAAGCACAGCACTTTCTCAATGCTACTTATTAGCAAAATTGAAGACATTCTTGAGATATTACCATGCTTGTCTGAAGTTAATCAAACACTTGTGTACAGGGCTGGTAGACTGCATCTAAACCAAGCCCTGTTCACCTCCCACTTGGTAGAAATGCAGTTTCACTGTTTAACAGAAATGTTGACATTTAGTGGTGAAGCTGCAACTAATGTACTTATTAGAAGACTTTTCATCCAATTTTAAATATATTTGAGACCTCATAATGATATGAAATTAACATGTATTTCAGGTTATGCTCTAGTTTATTTTAGGTTTACTAAGAAAACTAACTAGCACTTATATGTGTGTCTTCACAAGTCAGTCCTACCAAAGCAACAACAAAACCCATTAAATTCACGGCCATCTAACTAGCAGTCACAAGCCTTGAAAGTGAGCAAATGTTCTCTTAAATAACACCACATAACATGCAATAAACAAATTCTGTGGGAGATGATACACTCAGTGCCTAGAGAAAAAGAAATGAGGTGGATGAGGATTGGAAAGATGTCACTGTCCAGCTTAGAAAAGGAATCTTTCAGTGGATTCCAAACAGGGAAGGAAAAACAAGCAGTGATGAAGACAAAAAAGTGCTCCAGATTCACAGATGAACAACAAGACAGATACTTAAAAGCATTTCAGTAGCCTGAGAATTAGACAGCCTAAGAATGATCATCCTACCGAATTCTAAATGTCAGCAGAGCAACCATTTCCATAAACCGTGCTGAGCTGCTGGGGGATATCAAAAAATCCCTGACTGGTGTTGTGTTTTATCTGTAAAGCTTCGAAGTAATGTTACTATGGTGATTTTAGTATGGTGTTTTAAAAGGGGATTATATGCTTAATTTTAACAAGGTTGAGAGCAGACCATGTGTGAGAAATAGTATTCTAGCTGACAATTAAAATTATGGAAAAGGGGAAAAAAAACATGCTTCATTTGCAGCAGGGAGAAGCTTGTTTATTAAACAAGCGTGACAAACTGGGAGGCTCCTCCAAAGCAAACCTAAAGATTCCTACATTTGTAGAAACTGAATGTGTCTGATAGGCCTTGCTCAAGTTTCCATTGTCAGTTCTCCATGTGGAAGGATAAAATTCCCAATGTAAAAAGTGCTTTTCCTAAGATCTCAATACCAATACTTGAGATTCATAACTCTACTTCCAAATGGGAAGAAGGTCTATTTAGAGCCCAACACAATGGAAGCACCATAAATCTCTTCTTTAAGTGGGCAGATAGCAGCTAGGGTTGGAGGGAAGGGGAGAGAAGATGAGTGATTTCTTAAAAATCCCCCATCACTAGCTCTATCTAAACCTGATTAATCTAGACAAAAAATGATGTGACTGAGGTGGAGTTCTTCAGTTGCAGAATAGCCTCTGCCTTGATCATGCAACCCTAAGAGTAGAGTGGTCCACTTGCCTAAAGAAAGGGGCAACCAGTCCCAGATGATTTTTGATGACTGGCAACTATATATATAAGCCTGTGTCAGTAAATGCCAAAATCTTCAGCACAGATAACAATCAGATATGCAAAAGATCTTTAATAGCCTCAATACCTTGGCGTCCCATCATCATTTGAAGCTGTGATCTGGCAGAGGCACTAGTACATCTTCAGGTTCTATGACTGATAATGCTACTTTGGGCTCCGAGTTGGTAGAAGGAAAAGTAGCATCTCTTCATTAGTGACCAGGCACTTCTGACCATTTTAATCAGTATCTCCATCAATTCATACTGGTTGTTTTTACACTGATCTTGAAGAGATGCCCTACACAGAGTATTCTTCCAATAGAAGATATTATCTCATGTTCCTAAGTTATTTGAACAATAAGCCAGTATCTCCACTGTTATACAAAGAATAAGAATTTTAAAACCCCTCAACATTGCAGAGAGATTCTCATACTAAAATTGTCAAGGCCAAAAAGGCAACCCAGTTCACTGGGAATAGTACCCAGGTACTTGGAAGGCCTTTACCACTTCAGTGTTTTTCTCTCTCTCTTTTTCTTTTTTCTTTTGTTCAAAATGAACAAAATAATATATAGTAAAAAAAACCCTGAGGACTAAGAATTACAGTAACTGGAGAACTGATCCAACATACCACTTTCCAGGCACACAGAGGGATAAAATCCCACTAGAGAGTGCTAGTCGACTCTGTAAGACACGACTGTAAGGACCTTTCTGACACGTAACTGAAGGCAGTATTTCTTCTGGAAGCAATTTCTTTTTGTGTCAAAGTAGAACAAGTATTTACTGAGACGACTAAGGAGAATATTAAGCCATTGTCTGAGATAATTTCATTATGGAGCTACCTTCAATAACTTTATTTTAAATGTAATATAAGAAATGTTTAAATAAATAGTATTTGGTTAACAGTAATAGGGAAATAAAAGACCAACTAATGCAAATTCATCACTTGTTGAGTTCCAGAAACAGCCTCTCAGAACAGGTATTTGACTGGTTCTCAACTTGAAGTAGCTAAAAGATGCAGAATGTTTGGCATTTCAGATGCACTGTATTTTTCTCTATCATAGTCACATTCAATTCATTTGCACTCAGTGATTTCAGACTGTTTATCTTGTTGTGACTGGTAGGTTAATTCCCACACACAGTTCAAAGCTCAGTCAAATTTACACCATAGGGGACTATACAAGTATTTATTCCTATATACACCTGTGCACACCCCTGTATATTTGTGTGTGTGTGTGTACTTTTACATTAAGAAGCAGCACACATATTCAGCTGCCTGATCCTTAACTTGGGACATCTTTGACTTTCTGGATTATTGAAAGTCTATTTTTAATTTTAAATTATTCAGAATGTGATGGGTTACAATCCCTCCTTTATGCTCAAAATGTTTGGTTTACAGTCTTTTCAGTGACAGTCTGTGATATTCAGTCAAACAAGTGAATACAGAAGTGGAAATTACTTTTCATTATGTCCTCATTTACACTGCATATAGGTTTTCAGTTTTCTTATCTTTCGAAATGCTATATTACAGGGGAAAATTTAAAAAACAAACAGTTCAAGAAGGACAGGGAAGTGCTTGAAAGAGTCCAGCGCAGAGCTACAAAGATGATTAAGGGAGTGGAACATCTCCCTTATGAGAAAGGCTAAGGGAGCTGGGTCTCTTTAGCTTGGAGAAAAGGAGACTGAGGGGTGACCTCATCAATGTTTACAAATATGTAAGGGAGATGGAGTTAGGCTTTCCTCAGTGATGATCAGTGACAGGACAAGGGGTAATGGGTGCAAATTGGAGCACAGGAGGTTCAAGGTGAATATCCGAAAAAAATTTTTTACTGTAAGAGTGCCAGAGCCCTGGGACAGGCTGCCCAGGGAGGTTGTGGGGTCTCCTTCACTGGAGACATTCAAAACCCCCCTGGATGCCTTCTTGTGTGATGTACTCTAGGTGACCCTGTTCTGGCAGGGGGTGTTGGACTAGATGATCTTTCGAGGTCCCTTCCAACCCTTAGGATTCTATGAACAGACCACCAAAACAGACAAAACCCCTAGGTACAATACATCTATACATACAAAGCATAAATATTTATAGTAGAAACACATACATGAGAAAATATATAAGTACTTCTCCAGTCCCTGTCATAGGAAAGGACAGAAATTCCAAAATATAAGAAATATCTGTGGCTTTTAAATATCATTTGAGTCTACCATCACTGGTTAAGTCTCATGTTGACAGCCCAGGATATTCAGTTTCCTTTAATGTACAAATCAGGTATTGCAGAGACACTGGCAATACCTGGTCACATTAAGTAGCCACCAAGTAAACCACCAGCATTCCAACAAGATCAAGAATCCTCTAAATGTAAAGCACTTAATTAATTATTCTGCCCACACTTTGGCAACTAAGAAAGAAAATACATACACACACAAAGCTTTGATATTAATATGCGTATTTGACAATTATTTATTACCTAAGCATTTTCACATCCAAGCATTACATAGAAGAAACCAAAATGCATCCCTACAGCCCCCACTGAACAGCTCAAACTTCTACATCTCTTTTTTTTTTTTTTCAAGGTGCCTATAAAAACCCCAGGAAAAAGTGATTCTAAGACTATAATTTTGCACTTGGGTGCTTTAAATCACAGTCAAGCAGACAGAACATTAAGAATGGTATGGTTTTTATTTTCTACAGTGGTTTTATTGACAAGCTTATTTTCTTGTAAAGTTTGAAAAGCTAACACTACCTGTCCACATAGAAGGGGAAACAAAACTTGGTCAAAGTCTGTAGAACTTCCTGTGGAGAGAAAAAGAGATAATTTATACATCTGTTGGGACCAATAAATCTAATATTAACCACATCACACAATTTCACAACTTTGCCCTGAAGAAATAAGAGACAGATGAAGAAATATGGGCTTTATCAATTACACGGAAGGAGTACCAGGCAGTCAATCATGTGAAATAATAAACATGATCAAACTTCATTAAAAATGAAAAATTAATCAAGATTCACACATGGGCAGGCAGCAGGAGCCATCCAACAATTCTCCAAAGAGTAGGAGGAGGTTGGGTTGTTGAGTGTTAACACCTCTCTAGGGACAATCTCTACCCTGACCATATGGATCATAGTGAATAACACCAAACCACATGGGTTTGGCCTGGCAGGACCACTTCTGCTGGCACAGCTTTTGACTGTTACCTAGGAACAGAGGTCTGGGGGATTAGAGAATACTTCCTAACATCAGCAAGATAAATAACAAAAGATAAAGGCAATAGGTCTCATAGCAGGAATTTATAACATTGCCTACTGCTATTAGAAAGAAATCTGAGTGTTTAAAATCTGATTAAAATAATGTGTATCAAAATTAATACGTGTTGTTTAACTTAGAAACCATTTTCTAAATGTTGCAAATCAGCACCACAGAGAAACAGAGAAACTTGAGCATAACCTTTGCATATGAAATAAAAAGCATTAATATGAAAACTGATAACATGATTAGCTGATAAATTAATAATTTTCAAATTTACCATTTTAAATAAATACAGTCATTAAAGATGCCAAACAAGAAACATTTCAGTCTCAAACCCAGTTATGTTCATAGACAAAAGTAATCAATTTAAATTATATTGTTCTATATATTCAAAATTTGAACTCCGTAATCCACAACCTGTCCTAAAGGCCTTCCCAGTTTGCAGACCTTTACTATCATTGTTCATTCTCCTTCACACTTAAATATTTCAGGACCCAAAATGTAAACTACATTTCTGCTTTCAGCTGAAAGAAGATACCCTGATTAAATTACAAACCCTCTAATAAATTCAACACTTTTCTCAACAATAGTAATAAATTATTGTCAATAACTGAACTGGTGTTTCCCGCTTCATTTATTTCTAAAGCCAACGCCATCCTTCAACAAATAAACTGCATCAATCTAATAACCTATTTAATGAAGCAGAAAACATATTGACTCCCTTGCAAGAACATGTTCCTCCTACATAATTCAAACAAGCACATCCCATTCTTAGCAATGGTTTCAACTGCTCATGGACATCTCTTTGGAGTTTTCTTGACAACTAAAATGTAGGAACTTCTTAAGATTTCAGGCAGAAACAGATATGGAAACTTTGACTTCTTGACAGTTTATTGATAGATTATTTAACAACCTTCTGTTTTTAAAGAACAAGGAAGGATCTATTGAAGAATGCCATGTAAAGCAAAGAAGTATCTTCCTTTCAAATTCAGCAG